ATGAAGTATAAGGGAAGGCTGGGATTCAAGCAGTATGTTCCTTCCAAGCGCTCTAGGTATGGTGTAAAGATGTATAAGCTCTGTGATAGCGAGACTGGGTATACTCAGGCCTTCCGGGTGTACGAGGGAAAGGATAGCCACCTTGACCCTCCAGGTTGCCCAGATCATATGGGAACCAGTGGCAAGATTGACTGGGACCTGATATTCCCCCTGATGAACACAGGGTACCACTTATTTACTGACTATTTTTACACAAGTGTCCCTTTGTTCAAGCTACTGTACTGTTTTGATACAGTAGCTTGCGGCACAATCAAAAAGAACAGCACTGGTTTCCCAGGACAACTTGCACACACCCGTCTACGAATTGGGGGAGACTTAAGCTCTGTGCCAAGAGGAGCTGTTGGCAGTTAAGTACAGAGACAAGAAGGATGTGTACCTTCTTACCATCATCCACACTGAGGGGACTGTGGAGGTCCCTGTACGTGGCAGAGCTGAGAGAACAAGCAAGCCAGTGTGCATCAAGGCCTATAACCGGCATATGGGTGGGGTTGATCTGGCAGATCAGCTGCTGCAGCTCTACCTAATTATACGAAAGACAAGGGCCTGGTACATAAAAGGTTGCAATCTACCTAGTGCAGATTGCAACCCACAACGCTTTTTTGTTGTTCAAAAAAGCAAACCCCGGGACGCAATTGAGATTTTTACAGTTTCAGCTCCAGATCATTTCAGGGATTTTGTACCGTGATGCTCCCCGGGCGGTGATGGGAGAGAGCAGAGTTGGGGCTATACATTTTATTTTTAAAATTCCCCCTACTGCAGCAAAGCAGAATCCTGAAAAAAAGATGCAGGGTCTGTTCTAAGAGGAGGCAGAGAAAGGATAGTGTATATCACCGTCCTGATTGCCCTGGACTCTGCATTGGAGACTGCTTCAAATGATACCACACGCTGGTCCATTTTTTATTTATTTTTTAACATTTGCCGTTCAATTTTTTCGGTGTCTTTTTTTCTTTCTTTTTTTTTGGTTTTGTTACATTTACCCTATGCATGGGGGGCATGGGTGTACTAAGGAGGCCTGGGGTGTTTTCTTGCAATAACCAACAACAGGCTCTCCTAAATCACAGTCAAAAGCAATGTGTGTGTAAAAAGGAAGATTGAATAGTTACCTCCACACACTTTCTTCAAATTTTGTATTTTTTGTCTGGCTAAAAAAGTTGCATCAAAGCACTCCACATGCAATACCTCGGGGTGTCTACGTTTCAAGTATGTACCCTTTCATGGCACTATATAAAACTGGGGTACGTGATAAGCCCCAAGCTAAATATAGGCATATCAGAAGAAATACTCTCAATTTCAATTAAAATTGCAAGTCATACAATTGTAACCGAACCTTCCCAAAATCCTGGCAAACCTATGCATGGGGGGCATTGGTGTCCTAAGGAGGCCTTGCAGAAAACAACCTGGGGTGTTTTATTGCAATAACCAACAACAGGCTCTCCTAAATCACAGTCAAAAAGCAATGTGTGTGTAAAAATGAAGATTGAACAATTACCTCCACACATTTTCTTCAAATTTTTTTGACTAAAATGATGTCAACTTTTCAAATATATGCACGCTCATGGCAAGAAAATACATTGGGATATCTGATAAGGCCCCCAAAAGGAAGATAGGCAAACAAAATATGTAAAATTTGAAAAACGCATATCAGACATTTTGCTTTGTACCCCCCAGAGAACCCGACACACCTATGCATGGGTGGTATCGCTGTACTCGGGAGATGTTGCCGAGCACATATTGGGGTGTCCTTTGGCAGTAACACCTAACAGGAGCTGAGAATCTATGCCCAAAGTAGAATGTTTGAGTGAAAAATAACACCACAAAAAAAAATGACTACCCAAACGTTTGACAGAGACTGGTGGTAGAATTAGTGCATGCAAAGTGTTGAAATGCCACCATGTTTTGTCTACTTTTCAAAAACATACGGTTTGACGGGGGTGAATTACATTGGTCGGCTTCAGAAATCTTCCAACTGGCACATGGGTGCATGATGGCCAGCTGTGTTTTTTTTCAATTTTTCATCATATTTTACTTTTTTTTCTAGTAAATCATATGATATGATGAAAATAATGGTATCTTTAGAATGACCATTTAATAACGAGAAAAACGGTATATAATATGTATGGGTACAGTAAATGTGTAAGAGGCAAATTACATCTAAACATGGCCTGGTCACTAAGGGGTTACGGACACATAACATGTGTGACATGTCATGATTCCCTTTTATTCCAGAAGTTTGGTCCTTAAGGGGTTAAGCCAGTTTTCTATCCAAAAACTGATTTCAATTTTGCTAGTAACTTTTTTTTTGTTGACAAGTAGTTGCAATAGGGCATTATCAGCTATCACTACTAAAATAGTGATGTCCCGAACGGTTCGCCGAACATAAACATAAACTTTGACCCTGTACCTCACAGTCAGCAGACACATTCCAGCCAATGAGCAGCAGACCCTCCCTCCCAGACCTTCCCACCTCCTGGACAGCATCCATTTTACATTCATTGTGAAGCTGCATTCATAGTGAGCTGTCCAGGAGGTGGGAGGGTCTGCTGCTGATTGGCTGGAATGTGTCTGCTGACTGTGAGGTACAGGGTCAAAGTTTATGTTTATGTTCGCCGTCCGTGGCGAACCATTCGGCAAACCGTTCGGCACATCACTATACAAAAACATTGTCTCTATGAAAAGACTAAGTAATTCTCTATGGGAGTAATTAACCTCTACCTTTTGTCTAACAGCTGTTTATAATCACCAAAAACATCAGTCTCTGGCTTCTGACAAAGAGATTAACAACATATACCTCACTCTGTCATAAATCATATAAGATTTGTTTTTAAATCTATTTAGCATTACATTGATATAAACCATACAATTATTCTGTATTTAAGTAAAGTGTGTATGTATCATTTAAATAAACAATTCACACAAACAAACTTTACATATATATGTATCTGACACAGCGCAAAATAACTATTTAATATACTGTATATTATAAACTGCTGCAATCTCCTGCTAAGACCAAGACACAGGGTGAATTTTGCATGCTCGGGTTATAGTTTTGTTTTTCTGTATTTGTTTTGGTTTATACCAGTAAGGGATAGTTGCTATTGTGACAACGTATACAGCATGTGTTTCTGTGCTTTACTAGAGAGTGGATAATCTGGGAGAGGTAAACATCTTTGCATGCAGACACTATTGAATGCTGGCCAGTAAACATGCATTCAGTAGCCCATAGGATGTAGAGACAAACTCTTTGTCTCATTTGTCAAAGACAATCAACTAACTCCCTATAGATCCCCTGACATGCTACAAAAACGTTAATATATAAAATTGTACTTGCTGCAAGATTTACACTAGTTGAATGCTGGTTACACGTTGCCTTGCCTATACTGTACAAGAAGATCATTAAAACCTATTTTAAAATGCAGATGGACAAATCATTAGTAAAAATCACCATTATCCACTACACAGTTCCACATTGCCATGCTGTAAAGCGGATAATGGGTGGGGTAAAAGTGAGCAGGTTAGTAATGCAAAGGGCAAAAGTGGTGATGCAATCTGGAAAGGGTGTGTCCATCTGTAGACTATACATTTCAGGAGTGAATGCACTTAAGGCTGTATTCCAATCATGCCACAGGGTTTTAGTGCCGTAGTAAAGGTACCAGCCTGCTTGTGCTAGGTTTTCTGGGGATAGTCTCCAATAAAGTACACCAGGGAACAAAGGTGGGATAGGTACTGTCTCAGTGAAATCTAGACAGTTGAAAGCCCTTAGATAGCAGACAGAGACCCAGAGAGAGGCAGACAGAGATTCAGCCAATAAAACCTATCTCACCATCATTTGTCATTCATTTAGAACTAGAAAAAATATTTTTTATCTACATTCAAAAGCAGCCTGTAACAAATGCTTGTTATTGGAGTCTGTTTAACTGTTTGTTTTGTATTGTGCTTCCCAGGACATACTTGAGAATAAGATAAATGGTTATGTATTCTTCTTGGTAAAGCAATTTCTAAATAAATATTTTTTATTTGGCAGACAGTGCTATTTTTATGAAATAGTGTTTTTGCCAGCTGTATAATTGCTTAATTTATTTGAGAATTTAGCTCATATGTTATCATGGCCAGCTAGACTAAACTAACAAAGTATGTAATGTGGTAAACACAATAATGCCAGAGTGTTAATCCCCCAGAAGACAAACTGATTGATGAATGTCTAAGGTTCAGGGGGAAGGAATATGATTGAAAAAGATTTACCATAAACCAGCACAGTACAATTTGGGAGAAATTATGTTCTGATATCTGTGCCTTACAAATGTAAGCTTAAGTACAGCAGCTAAATTATGTTTAATATAACAGCAAGAAACTAAACACTGATGTACTACTTAAATAAATCCATAGTTTGTATAGACTTTATTATAAAATCCTTAAAGGTACACTCCAGGCACCCAGAAAACTTCTGCCCATTGGAGTGGTCCGGGTGCCAACTACCACCACCATTAACCCTGCAAGTGTAAATATTGCAGTGTTTATAAACTGCAATAATTACCTTGCGGGGTTAAGTGCTCCTCTAGTGGCTGTCTATCAGACAGCCACTAGAGGGACTTCCGTGTTCTTAGAACACAAAAAGTGTTTAAACTATGCATGAGTACCTCCAGCGTTGCCGGAATCCCCATAGGAAAGCACTGAATAATGCTTTTCTATGGGGAGTTCTAATGTGCTCGCGTGGCCATTGCCGCACTGCCATTAAAGACAGCATGCCCCATATTTACTCCAGTTACACGGAGTGAGACAGAATACAACTGGAGGGGGGGGTTTGTGGGGCTGTGGGGGGGAGAGGCGGGGAGGGAATCGGGGAGTGTCAGAGGTCTCTAAATGTTATGATATGCTTCAAGCCTCCAAGTTCTCTGTTATTGTTAATGTAGAATGGACCACAGTTGGGTCAAGATTGAGTAATAGTTGACATGAGCAAAAGTTGTAATGTATTTATCACCTGCCTAATAATGGTTGTACCGCAGTGCTAACAACTGACCACACGTCCAGTAAGCAACCGGGAGGCAGCCATACACATGTCAGCACAGCTTGGTGGCTGACCTGGGGGAACAGACCACATGGCAGGAAATTGCCTGTTGATTAGATAGGGAAATGCATAGCTAGGTTAGGGTATACAGTGTCCACTACAGTCCTGAAGGACTCATCTGATCTCTGCTGTAAGGACAGCACCCCAAAAAGCCCTTTTTAGGGCTAGAACATCAGTCTGCTTTTTTTTTTTTCTGTGTAATGTAATTGCAGTTGCCTGCCTGCCAGCTTCTGTGTCAGGCTCACAGTGGATACTGTGCACAGTGCCACCACTCACTCACTGGTGTCACAATAGCTTGCATTTAAAAACAAAAAACTTTTTTCACTGTTATAGATTGAATAGCAGTCAGTGTCCTTAAAGCGGGTGTGTTAAGCTCACAGTGGATACGGTGCCCAGTGCCACCACTCACTGGTGTCACAATAGCTTGCATTTAATAACAAAAAACTTTTTTCACTGTTATAGATTAAATAGCAGTCAGTGTCCTTAAAGCGGGTGTGTTAAGCTCACAGTGGATACAGTGCCCAGTGCCACCACTCACTGGTGTCACAATAGCTTGCATTTAAAAACAAAAAACTTTTTTCACTGTTATAGATTGAATAGCAGTCAGTGTCCTTAAAGCGGGTGTGTCAGGCTCACAGTGATACTGTGCCCAGTGCCACCACTCACTCACTGGTGTCACAATAGCTTGCATTTAAAAACAAAAAACTTTTTTCACTGTTATAGATTGAATAGCAGTCAGTGTCCTTAAAGCGGGTGTGTTACGCTAACAGTGGATACGGTGCCCAGTGCCACCACTAACTGGTGTCATAATAGCTTGGATTTAAAAACAAAAAACTTTTTTCACTGTTACAGATTGAATAGCAGTCAGTGTCCTTAAAGCGGGTGTGTTAAGCTCACAGTGGATACGGTGCCCAGTGCCACCACTCACTTACTGGTGTCACAATAGCTTGCATTTAAAAACCCAAAAACTTTTTTCACTGTTATAGATTGAATAGCAGTTAGTTGTCTCAAAGCAGGTGTGTCAGGCTCACAGTGGATACTGTGCCCAGTGCCACAACTCACTCACTGGTGTCACAATAGCTTGCATTTAAAACCCCAAAACTTTTTTCACTGTTATAGATTGAATAGCAGTTAGTTGTCTCAAAGTGGGTGTGTCAGGCTCACAGTGGATACTGTGCCCAGTGCCACCACTCACTCACTGGTGTCACAATAGCTTGCATTTAAAACCAAAAAACTTTTTTCACTGTTATAGATTGAATAGCAGTTAGTTGTCTCAAAGCTGGTGTGTCAGGCTCACAGTGGATACTGTGCCCAGTGCCACCACTCACTCACTGGTGTCACAATAGCTTGCATTTAAAACCAAAAAACTTTTTTCACTGTTATAGATTGAATAGCAGTTAGTTGTCTGCCAGTGTCTGTGTCAGGCTCACAGTGGATACTGTGTCCAGTGCCACCACTCACTCACTGGTGTCACAATAGCTTGCATTTAAAACCCAAAAACTTTTTTCACTGTTATAGATTGAATAGCAGTTAGTTGCCTGCCAGCGTCTGTGTCAGGCTCACAGTGGATACTGTGCCCAGTGCCACCACTCACTCACTGGTGTCACAATAGCTTCCATTTAAAACCAAAAAACTTTTTTCACTGTTATAGATTGAATATAAAAGTGGCCTCTTTGAGAGAAATATTTCCCACAATCAGAACAAAAATAAGGTTTCTCTCCTGTATGGCTCCTCAAATGATGCTTAAGATTGGAAGCGGCTGAAAAGCATTTCTCACACTCAGAACAAAAATATATTTTTTTAACATTCTCTCCACTTTGAACGAAATGACGTTTGGGAAGAGATTTTGTATGAGTAGGTTTTTCATGTACGATACGGGAACATGATTTAGATCCTTGGTAAGTTTTGCGAGATCCAATAGTGTGTATGTAGGGGGAACAGTCAATCCATATCTGCCAAGTGACCCTATGTAGGAGGAACAGTCTCTATTCTGCTCTGTGTCAGTTTGTATCAGGGGCTTTGAGGACAGGTGTCAATCCATATCTGCCAAGTGACCCTATGTAGGGGGAACAGTCTCTATTCTGCTCTGTGTCAGTGTGTATCAGGGGCTCTGAGGACAGGTGTCAATCCATATCTGCCAAGTGACCCTATGTAGGAGGAACAGTCTCTATTCTGCTCTGTGTCAGTGTGTATCATGATCTCTGAGGACAGGTGTCAATCCATATCTGCCAAGTGACCCTATGTAGGGGGAACAGTCTCTATTCTGCTCTGTGTCAGTGTGTATCATGGTCTCTGAGGACAGGTGTCAATCCATATCTGCCAAGTGACCCTATGTAGGGGGAATAGTCTCTATTCTGCTCTGTGTCAGTGTGTATCAGGGGCTCTGAGGACAGGTGTCAATCCATATCTGCCAAGTGACCCTATGTAGGAGGAACAGTCTCTATTCTGCTCTGTGTCAGTGTGTATCAGGGGCTCTGAGGACAGGTGTCAATCCATATGTCAAGGTTTCAATATGTCATATGTCAGGTGTCAATCCATATCCATTGTGATTTAGGAATGTTAGGTGATTTCTGCCCTTTATGGATTAAGACCAGACTCTGCATCAACTGTGTAATTTTCCATCGGAGTTTTGCCATGGATCCCCCTCCAGCATGCCACAGTCCAGGTGTTAGTCCCCTTGAAACAACTTTTCCATCACTATTGTGGCCAGAAAGAGTCCCTGTGTGTTTTAAAATTCGCCTGCCCATTGAAGTCTATGGCGGTTCGCCCGGTTCGCCAGTTTGCGAACATTTGCAGAAGTTCGCGTTCGCCGTTCGCGAACCGAAAATTTTGGGTTTGCGACATCACTATCGGGGACCTGTAGAGGTGACTGGGGACCATAAGGCTACGCCATCACTGACTATACACACCCGATATGAAGCCATAGTTGCCATTTGAGTTCTTGAACGCTTCTCTTTCCTCTATCCCTATCTTTCTTCACTTTAACGTCTTGCCCTCCCTCCTCTTTTTTCATTTTGTTTTTGTTGTTGTTGTGTTGTTTCCCTCCCACCCATCCATTACACACTACAAAAACATGGGCTTGGGTTTCATGCTGGCTCCCCTGAAGTATTGGTCAAATAATGTACGGGGCTTAAACATCCCGGAGAAGCACACTCAACTATTCCATACCCTATGGTTGGTTCAGGCCTCGGTGGCGTTCCTTCAGGAAACACAATTCCAGGGACGTAATGCACTTACACTTAAAAACCACCGATTCCCCCTGTGCTATTTTGCAAACCACGTAGAAGCCAGAAGAGCACGAGTAGCAATCCTATTCGCACACTCAGTACTGTTCATTTGCAAAGACACACAGACCAATCCACCAGGCAGGTACCTCTTTCCTCTTTCTTAAGGGAACCATAGCTGATCACATGTATACGTTTGCTTGTATATATAGCCCAAACCACAATCAACACGTTTTCCTTGCAAACACGTTATAGCTGCTGGAAAAAAACAGGGAGGGTCTACTCCTGGCTGCAGGTGACATCAATCTGCCCCTGATCCCTCAACAGGACTCCTCCAGAATGGTATGTTCACTCCCGTAGTGCTGAATTCGTGCCTCCCGGCAGTCTCTGAGACGTCTGGGGCTGGTAGATTGCTGGAGGGTGGTGCCAGGGATTTCACGTTTTACTCAGTAATGCACAAACATTATATCCAGATTGACTACTTCTTCCTAACCCAAGAATTTCTGCCCCTTCTCGTACACTCTGGGTTAATTTGGTTAATAGAGAGATCTGATGACACGCCCGTTTCACTTACGCTGCGCTCTCCCTTATTTAAACTGAGGGAACGCCAGTGGAATCCAAATGAAAACTTACTGACAGGACTTGAGGACATGGACTCAGCAAGACAAGAACTGACTCACTACTTTGAGACTAATGACTCCCCAGACAACTTCTTCCTTCCCCCTCGAAAGTATAGGGAAGCACACAAACGTGTTATCAGGGGGCACTACATCAAAGTAAGCACACACTGCAAGAAGGGCCAGACCATGTCCCCTTTAATATGCAAAATCACTTTTCTCAAAGACACGTAGGCAACTGAATGACATCCTAGTGCAGGGTCTCCTCCTTCCCCTTATTAAGTCTGCAAGATTCTTTTTGAGCATTGCAATAGGACTACTAGCCCGACAGTTGCAAGACAGACGACAATTGTGCCATATCCACAAAATCAGACCCAGGGGGCACCGCTGCAATCTATAATGAATGCGGCTGCGAGGCTTATTTTCCTGTCCGGTCGCACCTCCCACGCCTCCACGCTCTGTCAGTCCCTGCATTGGCTTCCAGTTAGAATTAAAAATTCTGCCGCTTGGGGGCGTGGCTACCGGCGGAGCAAGATGGACGTGTAATTCTTAGCTCCTGCACATGGGCTCCGATAAAGGCGTTTCAACACCCATAATAGAAGACCCTGACAAAACGAAAACTACTATGTCACAACTAAAACAGAAACGGCAAGCCTCCAAAACCGAAAAGCAAAACTTTTTTGGTCAAAATGCGGTGCCGAGCAAACACATGAGCCAGCAGCACCAACAAGATGGCGGAGAAGAAACTCACGACGGCAACCTCTCCACCGACCCTGCTGAACAGGCTATGGAGGAGCCGGTCACCAAGCAATTCCTTTTAGAACAGCTGGGCATATTCTCAAGCAAAATGATGGCTGGCTGGGAAGCAGGACTATCAAGTCTGAAAAAAGATATAGCGGAGCTGGGAACGAGAACCTCCCACGTGGAGGAGAGATTGGAGGAGACACAAGAGGCACATAACCACCTAACAGACCAGGTGAACACACTTCAAGCCACTGTATCCACAATGGAGAACAAACTCATGGATATGGAAGATAGGGCGAGGAGGAATAACTTAAGATTGCGGGGCATACCAGAAACGGTGGCCCCTGCGGACCTCCAGGCTTATGTGCATGAATTCTTCCACACGCTCTCGCCAGACACACCGTCAGACATGCTCCTCTTAGATAGAGTACACAGGATACCCAAACCTTCACACCTACCACCCTCGGTCCCCAGGGATGTCATCCTATGCGCCCATTAT